CCCCAAAACCCCAAAACCCCAAAACCCCTTCTCCGCACCATATAAAAATGCGAAAAAAATAATCTAAAAAATGAATACTTTCCACGAAGACCATAAATCAAAATCCGACCCAAGCATCTCTTCAAACTCTTCCGAAAGCCTCGAACCCCAACTCTTCGACACCCACATCTTAGCCTTCATAAACCGAACAACCAGCAAGAACCTCACCCCCGATTTCCTCAAACAAAAAGAACGCACCCTCAACAAAATCCCTCCAAACAAAGAAATCTCCGAATACCACGGCCTTGTCTCCAGAGTCTTCCTCACAGCCGAAGACACAGCTAAACTAACAGACAGCACTTCCTCACTACGTACAAAGACTGAGTCCATAATAGTCCCTACAGGCAAGGAATGCCCCTGCTGTAAGCACAAGTTAATAAAAGATGTTAAAGAGTTACAAAGGTTTTCGTTTTGGACATCTGCTGAGACCTTCAGAATCTTTGGAACTGGAGTACCTATGTATTTCTACTTTATGATATTTCTCATCATCCTGCTCTTCTTAATTGCTATGGTAGTTTCCATACCCACAATCACACTTAACATAATTGAAAACAACAAAGACGAGCTTGGTGTGCGCTCTCCTTCTTTTTTGGTGTATACTTCCATTGGTAACCATGGTATAACCGCTTCTGACTTCACAAAGTCCTCATCTATCAACTCTATAATAGTCCTAAACATGATTGGCACCTTCATAATCTTCCTCGGCTACCGCATCTACAGATGCATGAGTCTGAGATTCGCCTCCAGAATAGATGAAGAGACCATCACTCCTAGTAAATTCACAGTATTCGCAACTAATATCGCTAAAAATACTACTAAAGAAGAGATTATTCAGTATTTACAGAGAGAGCACCAAGCAGAAGGGATTAATAACGTGATCTTGTGCTATGATATTTCGAAGCCAGTCAAAATGCTTAGACAGAAGTTTAGAAAAAGGAGAGCTGAGCAAATGAAAATTCAAACTTTAAAAGCATATTATAAGAGAATGCACAAAGAAAGACTGATAGAAGAAGGAAAAGAAATCAGAGATAGTGAAGATTTATCGAAAGATGATGAATCCTTGAATACAATCGACCTTCAAGTTGTTGAAAATGCAAATACCTAAAAGATTCCTCTGTTTCAGATGCCGAAAGAAAACTCTCAGACACAGTGAAGCCATCGTAGACAAGCTTAACAAAGAAATCAAGGAATACGAACAAATGTATAAAGCTAATGAGAAGAAGAACAATAAGTTTTGTGGAAAAGCCTTTATTATCTTTAATAACCAAAATGTAGCCACCAGGATTAATGACAAGTTGCATGTTAGCTCTACAAAGAGAGTTATTATGTACATTTGGAAGAAAATCATTCTCTGCAAAGCAAGGAGAGAGGATAAGCCATTTACGTTTCAAACTCAGAGAGCCGGCGAGCCTACTGATATTTTATGGGAAAACTTACCAATTACTACAGCTGCACGGTTTAAAAGATCCATGGTGTCGTTCTTGTTGATGGGATTACTGCTTGTCTTCTCATTCTGATGTAATTTGATATTTGGGCTTTTTAAGGATAGCCTTGAAAGACAATATGAAGATAATGGAGAGAACTTTAAAATTCATCATTCTCTCATTCTAATGTTCTATAACATTCTGAATGCATTGGTGATTAGTTTCTTCAACGTAAGTCTCAAGGCTTTGGCTAAAATTTTAACTGAATATGAGAGACATGACTCTTATACACCCTATACTATATCATTAGCAGCGAAGATGATCCTGGCAATGTACATCAACACAGCTATTATTCCTCTTTGAGTCAACCACAATGAAAAGTATTGGTTCTCAAGCACTGGGTTAATTTCAGATATCTTCTACATTACTATTTCGATATGTTTCATTGGACCTATACTCTACTTTTATGATCCAAGGCACTTGTTGAAGGTATGCAAGCGAAAGAGAGAAGTTAAAAAGGGTGATAAATCTACTTTAACACAAAGGGAGCTTAATGAGTTATATGAAGGACAGGAAATAAGTCTTGAGAACAGATATACTTCAGCATTCTTAATCGTTCTGGTATGCTCGACCTACACTGTCTTACTACCAATTCTTCCGATAATTTGCTTCTTTGGATTTTGATATCAATATTGTCTGGTGAAATACATGTTGGTGAATCATAACACTCGTCCGAGAGAAGTTAGCCATTTTATAGATATTAGTGCCACAAATATATTTGTTCTAATCATTCTGGTCAACGGAGGAAGTATTTGGTACTTCTTAACCAGACTATCAGATGCACAAAATTTCATTGCTTGGCTTCCATTGCTCCTCGCTGGAGTCTTAGTTTTGCTACCGATAAGTTATGCTGAGAAAATGTTTAAGATAAATAAAGTGAGAAAGAGTGATGAGGACACTTATGAGTCGACCATTATGAAGCATCACTTCAATTATCAATCAAGCAATCCTATTGGAAAAGATGGCAAGATCAGCTTCAAAAGACTTTCATCATATGCAGCACAAGATAAATTTAAGCAAAAGGATATCATCTGGGGAAATTTGGAGAAAGATATTATGAATTATCCTGGGCTAAAGAAACTTATTTCAACAGATGTCAATCCTCTTGGGATGAAAAAGTTCTCTCCACTTCCACCCCAGCCTCTTTTGGAGAGGAAATCTATGATATCAAGTAATGTTCCTATATTATCAATTTAGAAGTGTCGATTTGACAAAGCGATAGTGATGAATCTGAAGATGAAGGGTACAAATGATTACTTAACTCATAGGATGTACAAGATAACTAAGAGCATTTTAAATTCCATCTATCGTGACAATATGCAAAATGAGAGGAACAGGCCTGGTAAGATCACAGCTTCTAGGATTTTTTGATCTTTAAAAATTTCACCATTTCATATCAAAGAATTTAAGATATTAATTAGATGAATTGGTGAAATTGGTGATTCTTTTTAAAGTTTCGAAAAATTACGATTCTTTTGAATAATGAAACCTTCTACAATTAAACTTATCGACAATATTGATGTCTCTCGTCAACTACCTTTGATTGTCAATCATAACAGTGCTTTGTCTCTTTCAAATTTTATTTAAGTTTTAACAAAAGTTTTCCTGATTTGAAATTTGTATTTTGGTTAAGTCGTTGGTTCAAACTATCCTGTATTTGCTAGCTCCTCTCATACGATTGAGGTACAATATTTTGTACAATTCTAAATGAGCATAACTTGGATTGGCTATTTATATCTTAATTTTAGCATCAATTTAACACAAGATGCTGTAATTTCTCAAATATTGGTAATCAATTCTTATAGAAGCCTTGAAAGATAAATTGACAAAAATTATTGAACAGGGTGAAGATTACATAGAAAGTGAAGATGATAGCAGTCTTAATGATAATAGAATTGATTTAAAGAAAGAGAAGATCTCAACAGAGACAGCGACTTTTAAGAACGATGAAGAGTCAGACAATATCCCTTCCAGAGTAAGGAGCAAGAAAACTGTCTTAGAAGCTGAAGAGAGCAAGGAAATAGAAAGCAGGTCTTCATTCAGTGTTAGTTATAACAAAGAGAAAGATAGTGTGGAAAATGAAAACTATGATAATAGTAATAACCAAGAAAATAGTGAAAGCAATAAACATAGAGAAAGTCACAAAGATACTGAAGGTGACTTATTTAATACCCAATGTCTATAAAAATGAGTTTGTTTCAATATACTCCAACCAACATGGGGTTTTGGGGTTTTGGGGTTTTGGGG